TTCTGTACTAGTGTACTTTCGCATTGCAGCTAACCCTAATAGGATCCACAGGACAACAATTAGGCACGTGGTGTTTAGGCTGTATTGATATATTATCGGGCACTTGGACCCTTCTGGTAAATTCTCGAAAACACTAAAGCCTAAAGCCTACACTACTCACATGTATATGTGATATTATATATATATACACACATATGCGCACATGCGTATATGTATATGTAAGTATGTATGTATGTATATATATATATATGTATGTATGTACATATACATATATATATATACATATATACATATACACACACACACACACACCTATTTCTATACACCGTACCAAATCTATGCCTCAGCCCGAGACTGAGTTCTCATCGGCGGTCCAATCACAGCTTCCAAGAGCCCAGAGACTACGGACATGTAGGGGGGTCAGGGTTTAGGGCTTAGGGCTTAGAGCTTAGGGGTTTAGGCTCAGGGTTTAAGGGTATAGGGTTTACAGTTTAGGGGCTTGGGGCTTCGTGTTTTAGAGCTTAGGGTTTGGGGTCCCCAATTTAGGGTTAAGGGTCCAAGTGCCTAATAATCATGTACTGTCCCAAATAGTAACCTACATACCTAGGTACCTAATTCTTGGGTCCTTTGGACCCTTAGAGGGTTTCAGGTAGAAGGGTTTAGCGTCTGTAGGAGGCGTCTCTTCCAACCTTCTCATGGCCAAGATGTCTGCACTTGGATCACCAGTATGGAGATTGGGGTCAGTCAATTGGCCTGGAGACATTGGACGTATAAGGCGACGCTAATTTAGAGATCGGCCCACATAGGGTCGGTCATAACCCCTTTTCCATGGGATATACTTTGCACAATGGGTAGTTGGCACCAGAGACAAGCCCGAAACGCCCCTACTGCAGGTGGGACTACTTCATGCGGCAGGCGCTGTGCTTTTCGCCGCTCATGGAAACCGCGAGTCAATGTCCTTGGCCCTGAACCCGAACCGACACCCCTACTGTTATGATATAAAACCTGCATTACCTTAAGGACCCCAACTATGGGAATTATGGTATGTTCCTTGTTATAATGGGTAATGCAGGATTTATATCATCACCCCTATCAGTCTAATATTAATTTCCATCAATATTATCCGAGCAGTTCACGTGAACTCCCTGAGACGTCAAGCCCTACCCTTGTAAACTTTATATAAGTTCCGCAGCATGCTTCCCCTGTGGTCCTGTCTACGATGTTTACAAGTTGTAAACATCGTAGACAGGGTCATAGGGAAGCATGCGGAATTTACATAAAGCTTCCACCCTAACCACTTGTAGAACTCCCACACAATCTTTAACATCTCTGAAATCGCAAAAAAGAGGGCCGCAAAGACTTGCTTGCGGCCTTTATTACCGCCTTGCGTCGCGGTCGCTAGGCCCTAGACCCCAGACCCTGGACCCTCAACCCACCCCCCAAGTACCCTTTAATAGAGCCGTAAAGCCTTTATGGTCCTTAATCTGGGGCATTAAGGGTATAATCGAGGGTAGTTGGGGGGGGTCTAGGTAAACCCCTCAACCCTAAACCCCAACCGCTGAGAAACCTCTAAACCCTAAACCCCTAAACCCCTAAAATCCTAACCCCTAAACCCTTAAACCCCTAAACCCGAAACCCCTACACCCTAAGCCCCTAAACCCTTAACCCCTGCACCCTAAACCCCAAACCTACGTCGTCGTCGCTAGGCGAGCCGGGGATCGGACGCCATGTCCGTCGTAGATCCTCGGCAAAGAAGCTGCGAGTACGGGGGTTGGGGTTTACGGTTTAGGGTTCGAGCTAAGGCTTGAAATGGCTTGATTATAGCGTTTAGGATTTAGGGTTTGGGGGTTTATATGTGTGTGAAAATGAATGGGGTTCAATGAGATTCCATAGGTGAGTATGTGCAATTGCATTGTTGTTTTGCATTGGAGTTTGGAGATGAAGAATGCGGAATTTCTTATTCAAGCCAGCCTTTGCGGGGAGCATTGGCAGGAAGATGTTGGCTGGTAGCAGTGATCCTTGCCGAAAACCCTAATGCAGGTCTTTGGTCCGGGAGTTTAGGGGTTTAGGGTTTAGGGGTTTATAAGGATCGTATTTAATTAGTTAAGGAATAATCCTCAAGTACGGGCTATTTGCCATGGGGCATCCCTGGTGCTTTAGTGGTGAAGCCTGCGGAGTGCGCTTATGAGAGCAGTTGGGATGGCTAACGAGTTCACAACCTCCACAACAGGCCCCTAAACCCTAGAACCTAAGCCCTAAACCCAAAGCTCTAAAATCCAAACCCTAAGCCCTAAACCGCCTGAACCCCAAACTGCAAGCACCCTGCGTTCCAAGCGGTTCGGGGTTAAAGGGTTGGAAGTTAATCTCATGTGCAGTACCAGCTGCTGCCGTGGACAGTCAATTTCTTCAGTTCATTCTGTGGCCCAAACTAGCAAAAACTCAGCCATATTCGCAGCCTAGACCTTGAGCCGTAAACTCTTCCTAGACCCCCAAACTACCCTCCATTATATCCTAAATAACGACTAGTAAGGGCTCTATTCAAGGTTACTTGGGGGGCTCCTGGTAAAGCGTGAAAACTGAAAGCTGGGCTCGCCCCTGAGCTTTTCAAGCTTCCGAGTGTTGTGGCAGTACTTGGGGGATCATGGGACTTATTAAGTACGGTTATAAGGCCCTCAATTGGGGTTATAAGTATAGGTACCTTAATTATTAAAACCCTACTTACTAAGTCCCATGATCCCTTAAGTATTCTGGATGTAACTTGACCGAACCCACAGCGTCCTAAGTACCTATATGGGGGATACCTACCCAGACCATAGTAGTTAATCCTGCGATAGAAACCCTACTCTGTAATTACTACACAACCCTAAAGTTTGAGCATGAAACTCTACCCATAGACCCACCCCATAGTAGTTCCTTTTGGGGTTCTTTTTTAGAATCCTATAAGGTAATCCCAAGAAGGAACTACTAAGTCCCTGGGACTCTTTTGGGGAACGCCTCGGGGGGCTCGAAGGGTTCACCAGGCTAACTGTCATGAGGGTTCAGGTTTAGGCAGGGGCTCCTACACTCCTTTTTGCCCGTAAAGCCCCGAACCTTCAAGCTCTTAAGTACTAGACCTGTCCTTCCACTGAGGAGGCGTTGCAGTTGGTCTGTGTGGACGAGGCAGAAGCGACAACAACCTGCACAACATAGAGTCATTGAGGGTTACGGTTTATGCTGTAGTACATGCTCATTGACTAGTTCATATGTGTATTGCGGATGTATGTATATATATATATACATACATATATATATATATATGTATAGCATGTATGTCTGCATGTATGTACACATGCATGTAGGTAGGTAGGTAGGTAGGTAGGTAGGTAGGTAGGTAGGTAGGTAGGTAGGTAGGTCTGTCTGTATGCATGCAGGTATGTATGTATGTATGCATGTATCTATGTATGTATGCATGTCTGTATGTATGTATGTATGTAAGTATTTATGTATGTAGGTATTTTTTCATTCGTTCATTTATTTCCCGAGGCTTTGAGGTTTTAGCGGCCATGTCTTGTGAGAACACTGGGGGTTGAGGTCCGAGGTTCAGGGTTGAAGCGCAGTCAGACGGTCGTTTCTAAACCTGATGCTCAAGAATATAAGCCCCAAACCTTGTGAGCCCTACACCCCCCAACTTCAGAAACCCTAAACCCTACACCCGCCTAAACTCTAGCCCCTACAGCCCTCAAGACTGTGAGTTTACTTTCAATATCTTTAAATCAGAAGCCGGGGGGAGATCTTCTACACCCAAGCTGCCCTTAGTGGGGGCATGGTAGTCTTTAGCAATCGGTCAAGGGTCTGGTTTTCTCCGTTGTTGTCATGTTTGCGGTTTAGGCTGAAGGGGTGTAAACCCTAAACCCTACAATGAGGACTTCAGGCTTTGTTTAAGGTTTAGAGTGGTATGTTTGAAGGGAGGCCCCTTCAACGCAGACTTCACCTGCTTTAAAGGAACTCTGAAGCCCTTTAAAAGAACTCTGATATTAGAGGAACCATTATAGAACCCCTTACAAGGATTCCTCAAAACGTCCTTCATTTAAAGACCGCTGGTATCATAGGAGCCATTATAGAACCGCTTAAGAGGATTCCTCAAAGAGCCCTTTAACGGAACCCTTGTATATCACATCCAAAGTTCACTATGGCAGGTCCACATGCTTGGCATGCCGAAGCGAGGTGCTATCCTGGAGTCTGTAGTGGCGCGGCTTCGAACGCCAGCAGCTCAGCACACAACAGGATCCGACAGCTTGAGGGGTTTAGCGATAGGAGTTTAGGGGTTTAGCGGTTCGGGTTTACAGGGTTTTCGGGTTTAGGGTTTGGGGGTGGCCCTTGTTTTCTGCAACTCGCATGTCGGTTTAGAGTCGCCAGATCGCACAACAGAGGGCACCAATCTCCAAAATCCACAAACCCACATCTTTCAAGACCGAGTCTAAGGCTTGGAAGCCAGCACCTTCGTAGCCGGGTCCTCGCCCCTAAACCCTTACCCTCAAAGGACTCATGTTTTAAGGCTTTTGGTCCCAAAGACCATATTATATAAGCCTTTGGGCTATTTTGATGCTAAGGGAAAGGCACTAGTTCCCTGGCCTGAAGCCGGCAGCTACTGGGTTCTTGTTGAGGAGCTTAGCCTAAGTTACCATAGTGGGATCTACTAATCTACTATAATAAGCAGGATTTCCTTATGATGGCATAGAGTTCCTCAACAAGAACCCAGTAGTATCCCCAGGCCGCTGCAGCCAAAAGCCCTTGAGTCCTATAAGACCAAAACTCTAAACCCGTAAACCCCTAAACCCCTAAACCCCAAACCCTGGCATTCAGGTTGAGACAGCTGACCTTGAAGGCCACTCCGGTTGAGAAGTTGTCCAGGGCTTCGGCCGGTAAGTAGGGCTTTCGGATCTTCAGCACCTCAATGTTCAGGCTTTTCCCCTAGGGATCTAAGGACTCATATATTAAGGCTTTTGGGCCCAAAGACTATACTATATAAGGCTTTTGGGCTATTTTGATCCCTAGGGTTCGGGCCAGGGAAACTCACCTTCCTCCTCCGTCAAACCCTAAACCCTAAACCCTAAACCCCATTTCAAGCCCTCTAAGCCCAAAAAGTCCGACGCCCCAAGCTCTAAAGACCACCAGCACAAAAGGCCGAGGTTTAGGGTTTAGGGTTTAGGGACTTGAAATCATATGGACCTAGCAGCTAAACCGAGTTCAACTGAAGACTCACGCCGCAAGATGGCCCATAAAGTCAGATCCTTTAACTTGGATCCCGATAAGCCGTGAACCCTAAGCACCCCAAATGCCAAAGCCCCACACCCACTATTGCAGACACCCTATAGCCCTAACTCCTAAACCCGTGAGACCTTAAACCCTAAACATAAATCCAAAACCCCGGGAACCCTAAACCCCCCTTAGAACACGAAACCATATTAAGCCCTCTATCTAGGGGTTGTTGCTTCGCGGGGCGCGGGTCGTTTCCGGGCAAGGGGGCAAGGACCCTAAACCCCTAAACCCTAAATCCTAAACCCTAAACCCTAATTTTTCGCTTCTTTGTGGGGCAAGGGTCCGTACCCTAAAGGTTTCGTTGAAGGTTTGGCTTAGGGTTCCTTGTAGGAATCCGTTTAGGGTTCGGTCTAGGCTTTCGTTTAGGGTTTGGGTTTGAGCCTTACCGAAAATTTTAAACTTTGTATGTTTCTCAATGTTTTGGGATTCTCTGGGTGGGTGGGTGGCTGGGTGGGTGGGTGGGTGGGTGGCTAGTGTTCCATATTCCGACGAGCAAGCTGGACTAGATATTGCTCGATCTGGAGCTGCTGCCCTAAACCCTCAACTCTAAAGCTAAGTCCCGAAGCCCTCAGCCTTAAAGCACCGATGCCCCCAAGTTTCAGTAGAAGCCCCTTTAAACCCTAAACCATAAACCCTAAACCTTAAACCCCCAAACCCCAAAACCCTAAACCCTAAACCCTAAACTCCTAAAGCCTAAACCCTAAACCCTCAACCTCTAAACCCTAAACCCAAGTTTCAGGAGAAGCCCCTTCGACTGGTCGCTGTCTCTGCCACAGCCGACTCCCCAGAACCCGTCGACACGGAGCTCCAAATACTTAGTTCTCCAATAGCCAACCTTTCAACTTTTCGGGCTCTTAGAGTTTAGTAGAAATCCGAACCTTCAGCCTTTTTTCCTGGTTTATTGGGGAAGTAAGACTGTAATTGGGCTTCCGACCATAAGCACGACATGAACCCTAAAAGGGTTTTAGGTTCATGTACCATATCGGGATTCATAGTATAAGGATATAGTATAGGGCCCCCCATTGAACATGACCACTTCATCCTCAAACTAGAGTTTCCGAAGGAACAAGAAGGGGGCGTATTTAGTGGTAGAATAGGGTTTGGGGATGGTTCAACTTTCGAAGATGATAGGGTTTGGGGTTTAGGGGGTACTGCTGAGCTATTCCGATCTGAAACTCTCTTGTCCCATTTCCGGGCTTAGCTTCCGTCAAGTCTCGGAGTTCCTGTTTTTTGGGGGGGCGACAGCTATCCACCCACTGCAAGCAACCAACAGGACGAACACAGCACCTGAAAGCTTAAACTGGAAGCCCAGAAACCCTGATTCTGCATACTACACAAAAGCCAGGGTTTAGGGTTTAGGGGTTTATGGGTTTAGGAACCCGATAGAACCCCAAAGCACACTGAAACAAAAACGTTGGATTTGCCGTGGTCTTGGAGTAGGGGTGTTGGTGAGATGATGTTCCGTAATATCTGAGGAGGGACTTACAGGAGTTGGCACATTCGCGTATCCATCAATCAGAGCTCTTGGGCCAACTCGGTGTAACTCGAGGTATTTGGTAGGCCGGGCCCCATCGACGACATAGACACCAGGATCTTGCTAGCAAGGGCTTCTTGGAGTATCGGAGTCCTGATACCCCCCCGCGCCACATTGACTATTCCGAGGTTCCCAACATCGCGGACATTGGGACGTGGCTGTCTGTTGCTCCCGCGAATACGAAGGCATTGGGCATATCTGGGGCGGGCTGCAAGGAGCCGAAAAGGTGTTGTCCAGGATTGCACGCCCCCAGCCCTGGGTCCTAAGTGGGGTGTACCTTAAGAACCCCAAACCCACTTTTTTGTAGGTTCTTATTATCAACCCTAACATGGGATTTATAGGGACCCTACAATTGTAGGTTTTGGGGTTCTTAAGGTAGGTCCTAGGTATGGTGTAGGGTTCCCGAAACCCGAGATCCTTAAAATGCATCAGTTGCAAACCCCAACGCAATGGAAACCCTACGCGCCAAGTTTCCAACCTTTCGAACTCCAAATCCCAAGTCCCAAACCCCGCATGTCCAAGTGCCATGTACTCTCCCAAATATAGTATAACCGGTTTAGGGTTTAGGGTTTAGGGTTTAGGGTTCAACCTACATAACTACTATCCGAAAGTTAAGTACCTAGTTGGTCGTTTGAACCCGTAGGGAAACCCAAATCGGCAAAGCCACGGATGCTTAAGCTTTGGTGCCCGAAATCCTAGAAGCCGAACCCCGATCCCGAAATCGTGATTAATATAGGGGCCTCAATATATATTTACCTAATATTTTTTGGGGTACTATACAGGACCCCAAAACCCTATTATAATTATAAAGGCCCCTATATTACCCTCCGTTTTGGTGGGAAGGCATTTGGCATGGAACATCGCCCAGTGCCCCTTCGCGTGCACGTGCAGACCTTCAGAGGCAGCAAAAACGAGCTCCTTTGATGGCCTATGGGCTTTGGGCTTTATGGTTTTTAAATGTTTCGGGTCGGTTTAGTCAAGTGTTATCTCTGAGTGCTTTTGCCGTGGCCATAGCCTCATTCTTAGAAGCAGCATTTTAGACTTTACGGGTTCAGTGATCTAGAGCAACACCCCTAAACACCTGAATCCTCAACCCGAGCCGGTGCAGGTGGCCAGGTGCGCACCTGAAACCCTGAGGCGTAGTTTGGTTTTCGTTCTCAAGGATCACCTTGCGTAACGTTGACATTTTATTCTTGGGGGTTCGGGTGTGGACGGTTTAAGAGTTTCTGATTGTGGCTGTACGTAGTTACTAGTTATATTCAGAGTTCAGAGGTTTTCCTGTTTTCGTTTCGGGTGTAGGTTTCAGAGTTGTACGTTAACGTTGTGTTGCGCTGTCTTCGTTGGTGTAGCATGTCTTATAGGAGCTTCTTGTGATGTCTTCCGCGAGCCTCGTCAACACGTCCCTGGGCATCCCTGGTAGACCCTCTGTTTCGGGTTCCCCCTATGTAAAAACGCTATGAAAAATGATTGTGGCTCCTTTTGTATGCAGGTGTGAGGAATCTAGGCACTCGTGAACGCGTACAAGTTGCGACGTCTGCTACTATGTCGTCTGAAGCAAGATCGAAACACACACCCTCAGTTGTCCGCGTTCGGCTTTTTGGCAGCTGGTTGCCCTTCCCTAAACCCTACACCCACAGGCCCCATAGTAGTTCCTTTTTGGGATTACCTTCTAGGATTCTATATATGAACCCCAAAAAGGACCTACTATGGGGCCTGTGGGTAACCCCCCCCCCCCTAGCTCCACTTCAGCTGAACCGCAGACTTGGCAACTGCAGAGCCCCTGAGCTTTGCAAGGTTCATGTTTCAAGAGTCCCTTAACCCGAAACCCTAAACCCTAGACCCTAAACCCTAGACCCTCAACCCTCAACCCTAAACCCCAAACCCATAGACCCTACACCCTTTGCTTTGCAAGGTTCATGTTTCAAGAGTCCTTGAATCGCGAGCTCGGGCCCATCATTCACCGCTACTCCGAGGGGAAGGCAACTCTGGTGTTCTGCGTCACGAAGAGGCCTGACATCAGCATTCCAACCTTCCACAAGGGGTCCATCTATACGACCATTATGGAATTAGGTCCCAAAAGACCATTCCTTACGTATGACCCTAAACCCTCGACCCTAAACCTTAAACCCTAAACCCCATAATACGTAATAGCAGTGTGTATGGGCCTTCCTGGCTCTGAAACATCCGGCATCCCCGACCATGGCCCGAATCGTGCCCCCAAAAAATCGAAATAAGGGCTTAGGCAAGGGAGCCCTATAAGCCCTAAACCCAAAACTGAAATAAGGGGTTAGGGGACCCTAAACCCAAAACTGAAATAAGGGTTTAGGGGACTCTAAACCCAAAAACTGAAACAAGGGTTTAGGGAACCCTAAACCCAAAGCTGAAATAAGGGTTTAGGGAGCCCTAAACCCAAAAACTGAAGTACGGGTTTAGGGCTTAGGGGGCCCATTGGCCCGCAGTCCGATGTCAGGGCTTGCGAAACTGCCGCGACCAGTTTGCGAGATTCCAGACCGTGGCAACCAGCACCCTCCGTTCGCACCGATCTGGCGGAGAAGGCAGTGGGCTTCGAGTTTCTATGTTTACATAGGTCCTGGTTTATATGCTTTATGTATTGGGTATATAGGATTTAGTTTAAAGTTTAGGGTTCCCAAATCGTACATACTTTGGCTCCAAAGTACCTATATGGGGACGACTGCCAAAGTATATGCTATTTGGGCACATGGACCCTTAGGGCTTTGAGTGCAAGGCAGCGCAGGTCTCGGACGCGACACTTCGAGGCCTTCTGCACCATGGCCTTCCTACAGTCTCCTTTGTGGTTCCTTTTTTGGGTTTGTGGTTTCGGGTTTTCAGGATTCGTGGTTCCTTTTCTGGGTTTGTGGTTTCGGGTTTTCAGGATTCGTGGTTCCTTTTTTGGGTTTATGGTTTCGGGTTTTTAGGATTCGTGGTTCCTTTTTTAGGTTTATGGTTTCGAGTTTTTAGGATCCTGAAAAGAATTTTGCCCCCTAAACCCTAAACCCTAAACCCTAAACCCTAAACCCTAAACCCTAATCCCTAACCCCTAAACCCTAAACCCTAAACCCTAAACCCTAAGCCAAGCAAAGGCCCCATGGCCTTGCGTTTCATCACTCCGGGCTGAGCGTGGCTGGTCTGGATTTAGCATATGCAGAGACGGAGTTTCCTAACTTCAGCCCGAACTTCAGGGCTTATAAAGGGTTTAGAGTTTAGGGGTTTCGGGTTTAAGGCCTCAGGGGTTTAGGGTTTTGGGTTTAGGGATTAGGGTTTGGGGTTTAGGGCTTACAGAGCACCCCCCAAGTACCGTTTAACAGAGCCCTTATGGTCCTCAATAGTGGGTCGGTATAATCGTGGGTACTTGGGGGGTGCTGGTTGGGTTTAGGGCTTACACTAGGGCCAGGAATTAATTCGGTTGTGGAGGGATTACTAATTCGATGGAAGGTCTGTTCCTTCAGTTTCTGGAGTGTTTGGAGACTGGTTGCTTATGGGTAGTTTTCTAAGTTAATAAGCCCCTAGCCCGAAGCCTGCCAGAGCAAACAACTCCAAGACTCGAATTCCCAAATGCTAAGCATAAACATTGAGCCCCAGATTCCTCACGCCCTTCCAACACGCCAAACCTGAACCCTAAACCCTGAACCAAACCTGTCAAATCCTGTAAGCTTCGACAAGAACCCATAAGAGTCTTGGATAACCCCCAGACTCTTGGCAATAAGCCCTAAACCCCTAAACAGTTTAGGGTTTGGGGTGTCGGGTTTGGGGTTTAAAGTTTAGGGGCCCTAAACGCCTTAGACCTGGCAATGTCAACTTCTAAGCGTTTGAGCTGCTCGTACAGCCCCAAACCTTCCGTCTTGGGTGTAGGGCTCAAACGTGTTGAAACCCTGATGGGTTCCTTTAAGTCCTTGAAGGGTTCCTTTAAAGGCACACTTAAAGACACCGTAAAAAGGAGCCTTAAAGCCCAAGGCGACTGACCGCCGCCTTGTCGAAACCCTCTTCCTTGAGGCCGCAGTTCAGGCGCCACGATGGCGGGGATGTGTTGCTCTGACCCTAACCAGGACCCCCCAAGTACCCTTTAAAAAAGAGACCCCTTATAGTACATAGTAATGGGTATCTAGGCTATAATGGAGGGTAGTTGCTTTGACCAAAAGACTCCAAGTACACAAACGGTACCTACTGTGCGGTTTAAAGTCTCTAAGATTAAAATTGTACCTACTGTAGGCTATTTGGACCCTAAACCCTAAACCCTACTTCGGGCTCTTGGGAGCCTCAGGGTAAGGGTACCCAGCCTTGAAAGAGGCCCTGGGTTTGGTGTCCATACTCAGCTGTGGCTTAGTGAGTCTTGCAGTGTTAGGCATCAGAACCTTAAACCCTAAACCCTAAAACCTAAACCCTATGCCCAAAACCCTAAACCCTAAACCCTAAGCCCAAAACCAGCCCAACAGCTACCTCTTAAGATCCGCCAACTGGTCAGGTGCTGTTCTGCACGCAGACACTGGCACTGGGCGTGAACCTCCCTGCCCGCCTGGTCGTAGTGAAGGGGACGACAGCGCATCTCAGAGAAAGGCTTGTCATGATAAGGTCATATCTGTACCTTAAGAACCCAAAACCAACTTTTTCGTATACACCCCATTATGGGATTTATAGGGACCCTACAAAAAAGTAGGTTTTGGGTTCTTAAGGTAGAATATTGACAGCTCGTCAGCATATCAGTTTAACTCGCTCGTCTTAGTCCCGGCCTTAGCTTCAGCCTAAGTCTTAGTGTTGTTCCCCTAAGACTCCAAGTCTACAAATAGGGTCCAAAGTCTATAAATGGTACCTACTTTGGGCTATTTGGAGTCTTAGGGTTCTTCTTGCTACCAGTAGTGTCGTTATTAAGTCGTCTTGCTTTTGTTGAAATGGGGGGGGTTCCGAAAATAAGGGACCCTAATATAGTGCCCTAAATAGTAGGATCCTTATTTTAAGGACCTTCACAAGAAGGTAATATAGGGACCTCAATAATTACCTATATCATTTTGGGGGTTCCTTATGATAAACATACTATAAAGGACCCCCCAAACCCTATTCTAACTATTAAGCCCCCTATATTATAGAACCCTTGTAGTATCCCTTATCATATCCATGTCCCCTTTAAAAGGAACCCTATTCTATATTACCCCTTCTTTTCGGAAACTCGCAAAGTGAGCCATGTGTTGGTTGGGCCGGATCAGGGCGGCGGTCGGCGCCCTGATGTAGGTTTAGGTTTTAGGGTTTAGGGTTTAGGGTTTAGGCCTAAATAACTACTTATATTATTTTGTCGGGGAGCTTTGCACCATCCGAAATACTAAAAATATAGTATTTTGGGTGGCTCCCTGTTAGAATTATAGTATAATGGGGCCCAAAACCCTACTCTAATTATTCAGGCCCCTATGTTACATGGGGTGTTTTGACAGGCTCCCTTTAGGTTTCCTTGTAGGGTTCCTTTTCAGGGCTCTACGGTTTTATTACGGGCCCGAGAGGCATGAGACGAGCCCGGTTGCTTCTTGGACCGAGGTACAAGGAAGGCGGCTGGGAGGAGTACGACGAGTTGGAGATGTTACAAATCATGGGCCGAGCTGGACGACCCCAGTTTGACGACCAAGGGGTAGCGGTGATCCTCGCCGAAGAGGGGCTTTCAACACGCTGGCAGCAAATGCTCGAAGGTCGGCCTCTTGAGAGCAACCTGCCGGATCGGCTTACCGAGGCCTTGCTCTGTGAAGTCGTGGCAGGATCGATACAAAACCGGGAGGCACTTTGCACGTGGCTTGCCGGCACCTTCCTGGCCGTGAGGGCCTGCAAGGATCCTCTCCGCTACGCCGCCGCTTGTCCGTTGCTTCACGGCCAAGCTCCCAATGGGCATCCACTCGCATATCCTCAGGGCCCCGATGTGACCAGCTCCTTTGTTCTGGTTAAGGGATTTTTTTAGGATCCATAGCAAATTCTATGGCGTCCTTATCCTATTATGGTAACTTTAACTCAGCATGTAGTCTCCATTGTAGTTCCTGTTTGGGGTTGGCTTCTTGGGATCCAGAATATGTAGCTGGTTAATCCCAGAACAGGAAATCTACAATGGAGACTGCAGGACCTCCCCAGGAAGCCCTAAACCCAATACGCCCGAAACCCACTAAGCCCCAAACAGTAAACCCTAAGCCTTAAACTCTAAGCCTGAACCCTAAACCCTAAACCCTAAGCCCTAAGCCCTAAACCCTAAACCCTAAACTCTAAGCCTGAACCATAAACCCTAAGCCTGAACCCTGAACCCTAAACCCTAACGAGAGCCCAGGCTTTCTGCAGCTCTTGGGTCAGGCAGAGGAAGCGAAGATGAGGTCTGCCGGCCTCACCTCCACAAGGGTTTATAGGGTTTAGGGCTGAGGGCTGCGGGTTTTATAGGGTTTAGAGGGTTTATGGGGTTGATAGGGGTTATATGTTTTATAGGGTTTATAGGGCTTTATAGGGTTTATAGGGCTTTTAGTGTTTATAGGCTTATAGGGTTTATAGGGCTTATAGGGTTTATAGGGTTTCGGGTTGAGGGTTTAGGGTTGGCGGGTAGCGTTTAGGGTTTACAGGGGAAGATGAGGTCGGCCGGCCTCATTGCCGCCAGTGCACAGCATCCCGGCTTTCAATCAACGCCACTCGGTGGGACCCTGTGCCGCAGCGGTGTTCGTGTGAGCCTCAGGGCACTTGGAAGGAATTTTCGAATTTTGGATTTCTTTAAAACGTAAGACTAGTAAGAGCCTAACTAAGCAACAGCTCTCTCAACCTTAAACCCTTAAGGCCCTAAGAAACAAAGCGCCATGCCCTAAACCAAGTTCAGTATAGGAGCACTCTCCACCAGCTGCAAGCAGCGGGAGCACCTCAGGACATGAAGGAGCAACCCTTGTCGTTAGGGCTTACAGCAAGACTGGATGTGATGGGTATAGGGTTTAGGCTTAGGGTTTAGGGTTAAAACTGGATAAGATGGGTGTATGGCTTATAGGGTTTCGGCTTTAGGATGGTTTGGGTATATCCGCAGTACAACTGACGATAGCAATGGCCACATTGATTTCAGGATTTTTCAGATCAATGCGATAGCACAGTACAGTTATCCTGGTGGAGATCAAGGTACTGCTCAAGTTCGCTGTCAGAGAAGCACACCCGTAATACTTTAACGACGAAAATGCGAAGGTAGTGTTGGGACATGCTTGAGAAACCTAAACCCTAAACCCTGAAACCCTAACCCCACTCCTTTAAAGGAACCCTAAGCCCTAAACCTTAAACAAGCCATGGTCCCAGAACTAACAGGCGGCGTATGAAGAGCCATGAGAAGCAGAACCCTAAACCCTAAACCCTAAACCCCAAACCCTAATCCCTAAACCCTAAACCCTAAACCCTAAAGCACTCCGGGACCATGGGAGAGGTCCTGTGGTCCTCCCGGTGAGCTGAAACAAAACACATTGCTCCAGATCATCCTGCATGAGCACATTGCCCCTAACCCTTAACCCTAAACCCTAATTAAATCCTGAACCCTAAACCTTAAGCCCTAAAACCTAAATCCTAAACCTTTTTCCCAAGCCCTTAAGCCTAAACCCTAAATCCTAAACCTGAAGCCCGAAACCCTAAACCGTAAACTACAAACCCTAATCACAATGGGGGGAGCGCCTGAAATGCCAACATACAGTATGCAGCAGTGGCAACACGTTCCTTCCTGAGAACATCCGAAACAAAAGCTAATCTGCCTTTTGGTCAAGTTGTGGCATTTCGGCATCATCTGCGTCATGCCATTGTAGCCTACCTATAGTCTCCATTGTAGTTCCTTTTTTGGTTTAACCATAAATATATAATAAGGATTTTATAAGGTATCCCCAAAAAGGAACTGCAATGGAGACTATAGGTAAATCCTAAATGCACGTGGAGCCTGTTTTATCTGCTGCTGTGTAGTATAGGGTCCAGGCAATGCCCAAACAAACCCCTGAAACCCGAAAGCCCCTAGTGAGCTAAACCCTTAAGTAAAGGCCGAAATCGAAACCCTTCTCTACTTTGAAAAAGGTTCCATGTATCCAATAAAGTTTACAATTAGGCCCTAAAGGGGTTCCTGTTTTGATACTTCATTTTCTAAGTAATTGTATTGGGTGTTACTAAACGGAGTGCTAGGAGCTTCTTTGGCTCCTTGCGTCGACATCCGACTTCGAGGAGCCCGCCACCAAGTATTTTTGACCCAGTAAATCCTAAATAGGGCTCAGGGTTTGTATAGGGTTTAGGGGAGTATTTCCTGTAGTGTCCATTGGCGTTCCTTTTTGGGGTTAAAAGTTTATGTTCATGATCCTTAAAGGTAACCCAGAAAGGGAACTACAATGGAGACTATAGGTAAACCCAACCTAAACCGCTAAGCGTGCTAAAGCCGAGAATGGTTGGCTTGGAAGCCGCCTTCATTACGGGCTGTGCGGACTTGCAGTTTGGGCGTGGCTGCTTTACAGTTTTTTGGCTTCAGGGCTTTGGGCTTAGGGTTCAGGATCTACACGACCTAATGAATATAAGCCCTTGTATCTCGACAGGATTTTCATAGCGATCCGAATATACATGCCCTGTAAAGCACCCTAAACCCTAAACCCTAAACCCTGGCAAGGACACTTACCCTATGGGGACTTCCAGCGAGATGGAAAAAGGTGCTTTAAAAAAAACCTAAACCCTAAACCATAAACCCCTAAACCGTGAATCAGGGGGGTCGGCAAACTGAGGGTTGAGGGTTTAGGGTTTAGGGTTCCTTTAGTCTCCATTGTAGTTCCCTCTATGGTTTAGGGTTTAGGGTTTAGGGTTTAGGGTTTAGGGTTCCTTTAGTCTCCATTGTAGTTCCCTCTATTTGCTTTAACCAGCTCTATATTGAGGATCCTACAAGCTAACCCCCAAGAAGGAACGACAATGGAGACTGTAGGCAGGGCTTATTGCATGTAGGGCTTTGGGGGTTGTGGACATCACAGCCTGAGATTTTGCATGGTACCGAGGGTTTCAGGCAGCCTGTCGTTTGTAGTGCTGATTGATGGTCTTGTGCGTGTGTCCGAATCAGATGCAATATAGAATATAGAAGCTTACATAAATCCTTACTGTTACTCCTTAAGGTTCCTTCCTAGTCTGCTTATACTATGAAGGAGTCCCACACCCTATTCAAATTGTTCAGGCCCCTACAGAATGCCTAAGCCCCAAGTCCTGAACCGCATTTTACCCCAAACCGTTCAAACCCTATTTAAACCCCTACCTTAAGAACCTCTGTGCCAATTAAAATGGGTAGTTGCTCGAAACGGGGCTCCTTTGATGAAGTTGCTGTAAAAGTTGGCGCCTAGAAATAAGAATGGGCGCAGTGACCGATACTAGCAAAGTAAGGACTTTTGCTCATG